TTGCAAATCAATTGCCAAGCTCGGCGAACAGATCAACAGCCACCTGATCAATTACCAACCAATACACCCGAGCTACCAATATTCCAAAACATTACCAACATGGATGTTTCGATAAATGCAGGTTGTTTTACGGTGGATAGTGCGAAGCAGTTTACTATTCTACAGCTTCTGAGTAAAATATCCAGGAATGCCAAGCTGTCATTTGACTCTTTCCAGCAGAATAAAGATCAATGGGACGTTTCAGGTTAACTTTGCTTGATTTCACCACACAAAATTAATGTCAATCACTCCTCAAGTATACTGTTACTGGTCCGATTAAGCGCATTTGAAAGCGTACAATCTTTCCAGCAGAATAAAGATCAATGGGACGTTTCAGGTGTACTTTGCTTGATTTCACCACACAAAATTAATGTCAATCACTCCTCAAGTATACTGTTACTGGTCCGATTAAGCGCATTTGCAAAGCGTACAAGTAAATTTAAGCGAGAATATTGTGCTTTTAAGTAATACAGGAAGTTTTAAAGGAAGCAGGTATGAACAAATGTACCTGGACTACCTCCTCGCCAGCAATCGGACCCTCATTTTGAACCGTCACGTAAAATGCTATTCGTTGATTGGAAGAAACGGCACTTGACGGCGTGATGAGATCAGAATAAACGAATCCTGAGGCTCCAGAAAGGTTGAAATTGTAGCTCAGTCCATATCCAAAAGGATAAAGCACAGGGATCCTACAATCTTCGTTTGACATACGACACTGAGTTGGAAGATATCGATATGTCTGATTGGTCATTTCATACACGGTTATATTGGCTAACTGGTCGATTGATTCATACCAGGTGAATGGAAGACGCGCGGCAGGAATCCACCAATAGCCGTCATCGGGTATGAAATCCCATCTGTACACCTCCCGGAAGGAATGAAACCCAACGGATATTGGCTTGGATGGGCCGAAAAGTTCACCGGAACTTCCCAGCAACAAATGCTTCATTGCGTCACCAACCAGAGGCCCCGGAAATCCACACCAAAAGATAGCTTTCACCTAGAACACAAAATATGAGAATAACTCCCAAGTACATAAACACGAGATTAATGAAATGTTGGAGTCTCACTTTTGCCCTGTTAACAGAAGCCTATTCTTTATTAGGATAGGGCATGGATAAACTAACAAATACACGAAAACTATCACAAACAGCGGTAACCAGCGGTCAAAAAGTAGTAACAAAAAATATGCTTCCAAATATCACTTCTACTGATAAGGTAAAACATAGTGTGAATATACATCATGGTTGACGAGTAGGAAACTGTATCAACACCATAAAGCAAAACCTTACATTCTCGTCCTCCACTGCCCGTGATATGTTGATCGGGCCGGCACTGAAGACAAGCAAAATAATGGGCACTGTCCGCCTTGACAGCCCAAGGCCAGCAGCGAGTTTGAGCGTCTGTTCCAGTAGCTCCGGCTGTTTTCCAGGAAGAGTGATATTCTGACGATCCATATTCTCCCCTTCAACCTCGCTTCCAGTCCCTACCGACAGTACGATTAAATCCAGATCATCATAACCCAGAGTTGAATGCAGCGCCTCGTTGTTTAAACTGGAACACCGACCGCCATCGGTACAGATGTCGCTAGCATGCATTCGACGGGATAGTTGAGATAAACCTGGAGTGCAGTACCAACAAAACGTTAATTTTTTGGTGACTGAAGAAACGGATCCAAACAAGATAAAGTCACGAGGAGTTTACTCATCACGATGAATATCCGTCGAGAAAAGCACGATATAATGATTGCTGAGAAAACAACCCTAGCAGAAATATGACTCGGAGAAAATGGCAGTGTTTTACGTCCTGGGTGAAGGCAGTTGCGCTCGTTCTGGAAGTTGAATTTTAATTACTGTTTCTATTGTGCAAGTCATCAAATCAAACTCAGTTTTCCGGGGGTATTGAGGATGTGGATGAAGAGAAAAAATCATTCTACTGAAAGTCCATGGAGCAAAATACCTGGTGAAACTGAACAGTTTGTGTACCTAGAACATAGACCTTAGATATGACTTTCTCCATGTATATCTTCCGAACAACCACACTGCTTTGATGCAACACTGCTCAACTTTGGAAAAACCAAAAGCCACGAAACCCATTTGAAAAGAAACTATGCGTGCGTGCTCGTTCCGGTAGTAAATAAGCGATTCTCATGGAGGTAAATGCCAACAAATATGGGCTTGGTGGGGGCAATTACATTACTAAGTGGGGAGGGTTATTTATTTAAAAACTACGTTGCTCTGAAGCATTGTTTTTATAGGTTCTGATGTGCTTAGTTAGAAGTGAATGCTACATTTCTGAATTTATTTAATTGAACTCAGGTGATCAAGAAGGTAAGATGTTACAAGAAGAAAAGTATTCCACCAGAAAGGTCTTCGGGGACTCGTCCACACGGGCCTATAGGTCCTATGTCGGTCTCCTAACAACGATGTTCTGGGGAATAGCGCGTTCCGTGAAATATACCCTACCTCAATCTTGATGTGAAGGGCTTGGCGAATGTTCATTTCTAAGGAAAGATGCCTAACAAGTGGTGTTTCTGGCGCAACTGTCATAAATCCTCCGACCAAGTTCCCTATCAAAACTATTATTTAAAAGACGAAGAATCAACAACATCTTACAATACTTTCAATCTTACGACTGAAGTTATTGTATCACGAAGTTGGTGAGACTTTTGGCGGCTTTATTTAACTGATAAGTTACGCGTAGGTGGTTTTGTTAAGGGTCACCGTTCTGGGTCATAAGAAAGTTTACTAGCTTTACACTTCCGCCGCCTAAGTACCATTCTGTAAGAGTTCAAACAGAAATTAACGCTTTCAGATCTACAACTCTTGCCGTGTATAACCTTTTATCACTCGATTCATATGGTAAAAGTGCAGCTACAACACGAAAGGCGAGCTCGAATTTGGCACTCAACCTAGATTTGCTCCCATTATTGGTGTGCGGAATGTAAGAACTTGCTAAAAGATGTTCCCATAATCCAAACACCTACCTCTAGTGACTGCCTTCAGTCCGTAGATCAGCCATTGAGGGCGAACCAGAGATTCAACGATTGAGGTACTATTGAGGGAAAGTTTCTCATAAAGTAGACGCATCACCAGTGGAAGCTTGCTAAGGGAGACACATAGTGAGAAGTGATTCATCCCATAATCGAAGTCAATATATGCCGAAAAGCGGAAAGCACTGTGTAGCCGTTGATAACTATTGGCAGTGCTAATCTCAGGAATCTCCTGGATGAATGGGATACGTAGACCGCCAGCCAGTAGGTGAAGAGTTAACTGTTCAGCGACCAGAGGCTAATCCGCAGAGTGTGGTCAACTCGCACTTAGACGGGATGCAGCACCACTTCAATCACTGAATGCTTCAGTCCCTGAATTCATATCATGTGGTCACGGATTGACTGGCTAAAAGAGTGGGGGCTTCTCAGAGAGAAGGCTCGGTCGTGTGAAGTATTCCTCCTCCTGCGCTAGCCAGGTGTGTTGGTAATAAGAGAGTATTTAGGCATTTTCTACGTTCACGGAAAATGGAGTGCACTTGTACGTATTTGCAATATCGCGGGGTTAGAGAAAAAATGTCAGATGTCCTTAAATGTAGTAGCATATGGAGTTTATAATAGATACATACCTTTGCTAAGAGGGACCTCTATTTCGGGCTCAGGAACTGTTCGATAATGTCCGTACAGTTCAGTAACCGATGTGGCGAATGGTCCGACGATGGCAATGTGTCGAAGCGGACCTCCTGAATCGGCTACATTATCCTTCAGGGGCAAAAAACGATCTCGATTCTGAAGAAGAACGATACTCCTTGCCGTGGCCGCCAAGGCGACACGGCGGTGGTCTTTGTTCAGGATGACCTGGTAGAAAAAACATGATCAACGTGGGTCTTGTACAGTGTGAAGAATACGTGCAAACTGGGTGAACAGGAAACGTGAAAGCACTCCTCGACGAGAAAAGTCCACCTACAGTTAAAGTTCTGTTTTAACCTCAGTGATCAGCCTGTTCTCATGGAAAATGATAACAGCTAGATAATTCAATCATCCATAGAAATAATCCACGCTGTTGTCAATAAGTCTGGAAACATAAAATATGATATATTACTCATGGAAAAGAGAGGAAGGAGTATTTGGGCGAACGTAAGTCCTATATGTGACATTTAACCCAAAACATTCTTACGGGAGACTGGTTACAGCTACAAAAAGTGATTGTAGTTAATTGACATATTGGCGGCTTGGTTGTATGTATGCCTGACAACACCAACAAGCAGGGTTTTTCATCCTAAGCCGTTCTGCTGATTGGCCAACTGAGAATAGGTTTATCGCTTCTGGTAACAATCGAAAAAAGCCTATTGCACCACTGTATGCAACTAGTACATTCAACTCATCCACTTTACTTTAAGTTCATTAGAGTGGCGGCCGAATGCACAGAAAATCGCACGAAACTAGCTCAGTGGCCTTGCGAATGAGCAGCGTTCAGTTTGCGGGAACGTGTTTTCCTGGTCAAACAGTTATTAGCATACCAAGTAATGCTATCCTTAATGACTGCTGTGGTAGCCATATGGTCTGGGATGTAATTTGGCATCTGCTGAACGTTTTATTCCATAGAAATGTTATTTGCGTTTCAGGAGTCAAGAGAATATTCTGAAGCTTCAAATGCGATTTCTATCGTTCACGTGGATCATACGGTTCATTGGAATTGCATAAAATAGCAAATGGTAACTGTTAGAATGCTCTGCTTCACAAGTTGTACTCCGTTAAGATAGGCGAAAGTTCGCCGGTTTCATTCGGTTTTCGACTCAGCAGAAAGGCACGAACATCTTTCGGTTTCGTTTGAGAATGAAAGAGCAATGGGATCGACTAAAAAAACTGTTACAGTGAGCAAGATCCGAGAGCGCATGGTGGAAACGAGATTCCTCAGACAAAGTTGGAGAGACTGTAACACGCGGTAGGTAAAGTCATTTCCCTATTCTTTCATGCAGGCGGTTTCAGCCTGCTAAACTGCATTCGGTAGCTCGATGAATGGAAGAGGAGTGGAAAACAGCAACGTTGATTGATTGGTACCGTAAAGCCTCTTCATAAGTGTTCAAATAAACCACATTGGCAGTTGGAAGCTGGGATCGCAACAACCGAACATGTGACCCCGAAGTGCATGCTGCGTATATGCACCTCAGCTTCAATGAAACGACTCTCCAAAGGGAAGTAAACTGCACATAAGTAGAACTTCAAGTCCATCTAATTGAAAACACCTGAGTAACTCGACTCAAAGGGTTTTCTGAGCTCTTTTGTCTACAAACGGGTAATGGTTCCAATCAAGAACACAGTTTGCAGCGTCAGTAGACAGCTGTCAGTACAACTTGAGCTATTAGCAAACGGGGATCATTTGCAAGGAGGGGTTCTTGAGGAAGAGTACCTATGATATGGAGTTAAGAAGCTCACTCAAGTTCATCTGAGAATCTATACGATAGTCACTGGTCATGCAATCCAAGGGACACAAGAAGCTTTCCAAATACTTTAGATTTGCTCTGGTAAGTTCACCTAGTCTCACAGGACAAAGGTAAGATTAAAAATTCACAGGTTTCTGCATCTTTATGTGATCCAATAGATGAAAACCGTTAGAATTTTACATCGTTAACTTTTACTTGAAATTCTTTGGCGTAAGAACTGTGTTTATCCGGCTTGTCGTCTCTTCAAGCTCACTGGATGCAGACTAAAAGTGCAAACACCATCATTACTCCTTTGGAAAACGCTTTTATGAGAAACTTACAAAGATGACAGTCTCGTTCTTCTATCAGTAAGCTAGCTGTGTAGTCATAACACATGGTAATTTTGTGACAGTAAAGGATATTTCATATATGTAGCTTTTATTGTGAACCCTCCTTTCCACCCATCGTTCCACAAGTTCTAGAGCAGTCTGAATCTAACGAAGCTTTTATACGTTTGATTAGGACTCGGGCAGACGGCCAAACGGTTTAGTGCAACAATTTGTTTACCGAGGGACAAACTGGATGGGCGAATATACAGACTCCTTCAGTTTCGTGCCAATAAAACAGAAACAAAATTTAGTGTGATCTATGGCTAAGAGACCGCGAACGGAACGGTATCAGGATACAGCCGGGAGCGAACGATCGAAATTGTGAACAATCTAAACGATAATCCAAATGCGGAAACCCTCACAAACGAAAACAAAATTCCTAGACCTCACCAGATGAAGGCACATGAAGTAATAAAGGGTCTATTGTAGCGCGATGTGAATCTGCCACTGCGGCGAGTATTCCTGATGGCTACTTTGTGTAACTCGTTTGCCTGCAGACCAATTTCTGTTCTTAATGCAAAGGACAGAACCGGAGGCAAAAGATCAACCAGTATGTCTATATCTCTTCAACCATCGTTGAACAGTGTAACGAAGAGGCATTCATATGAAAGGATCAAGAAACACTGTCTATATTGGCTGAGGAAGTACAGTATGATAATGACCACAAAGGCAATCGAAGCACGTTCGATGAAAGCCAGCTTTCACGTGGGTCTTGTCACTACTTTCAAATTGTCTTGCAAAGTAGATCCGGTTAAACTCCACTGCTCTGAAATGCATGCCTGAATGCATAGGCGTCGTTATTTGAACGTGAAATTTCAGTCGAGGTGATATTTGATACACGCTTGTACCATACAAAAGGTGACAGCCCTGGCAAAGTGGTATGATTACCTTGAGTTTTGCTATTAGACTGCCGCACTGTTGCCGTCTTTTAGCGTCCCGGCAAACATTAGTCACTCTTGCGCAGGTTCGTACCAAGCTGCTCGCACTGTTTTCTCTCCGAGATAGGAAGTCGATTCATCGGTACACCAAAAAAGCTTCTCGAGCATCATTAGAGTACGCACTCGGATTTTGTATCCTACAACATCATGTTCAATTGTATCACCCGGCCCAACTTTGATTAGATCGATCGGTTGCGGCATTGGTTGCCCTGGCTTATAGAGCAATGTGAAAATCTGATTCCGAACCCGTTTATTTTTGTCCTGTAGCCTGTTTACTCTAGCAACACACTTTGAACCTCTGTATAATCATCACTAAGAGTAAGGTGACACTTTGTTCATAGCCATACCACTCTCATTTGAACATCCGTGTTTCTGTTCTGGCGTAATTATTCCGGTGAGTCCACACCAAAGAGAAGCACTGGACTCAAGTTTCGCTCTTATTAGAGCTCATCCGTAGTGCATATCCAATGGCCGTGCCGGGATTTGAACCCCGGACATCTGACATGCGAGGCGAGCATGTAACCACCAACGCACGCTAGACGCATCCGAATTTTCACATCTGAATAGGCAAACGCGTTCACACTTGAGCGATGTGATTGGTGTGCCCGACTCATCGAACGACGGCCCAGTAACTGTCCTGGTTGTGACGATCGATTGACCCGCCGGTCAGGACCTCCAAGTCAAGTGGCGTGACACGCTTGAAACCTACTGGGCAACTTTTTGGTTGCAGTTTTGGGGTTTTTGCGGGATAGGTAACATTCGTGCACCAAATGCTGCTCATCCACTCTCGAACAGTGCATGGCGAATTCCCCCATTTTTACGTTAACAAAACTGTTGGGAATACTAGTAGCCTCCAAAATGGTCTAGTTTTCGAGTAATTGTCAATTTTGTTTTCTGAAAATCAGGCCTTTTGAAATTTCGCACCCTTTCCACCACTGTACTTTAACATTGGATGAAGCAATAAAAGCTCTCCTCCGAAGGTCCGGTCATCATCTCCTCTGGTTGGTTGGGCTCAGCTCACAGATGGGTGCGCCCGTTCTCAAGTTGCTCCTGGTCATTGATCATACCCACTCAAGCACACACCAAAAACTTAGCAAAATAACCTGCCTAAAAACCAACGGCTTTCTGGTTAGAGTGAATGTGTTAAAAGTACATAATTGATATGCATCTCACCTCTTCAGGCGCCAGTAATCGATATGGATCCATTTCAACCGGATTGAATTCGCCTTGCATCAATCGGGTCAAGAAAAGCGGTCTGGCCATTTCAATAAGTTGGTCACGTGATAAAGAACCAGAGGCGAGCAAGTGTGGTAAAGTCGAAAACACTTGTTCTGCATACATCACCGAGTTTTCCAGATTTACTCCTGCTCTAACTGCCGCCATTGCGGTCTCATTGTAGTGACTGAAAATCTGATGTTTCCAAATGACAAACTGGAGAGCTCCACAATCTGTCACCACAAATCCTGCAAGCAAGAAAAGTGCACAATAAAAGCGATGTGCGTCGAACTTCAGGAAGAAGCTAGCATGAAGTGTATACGTAACTAACTCTGCTATTGAAGGGATATGAATTGCAAGACACCCTGTGCATTCATTAGGCACCTGTGGCACATCATGGCTTCTCAATAAGGGACTAGTCAATCAAGAACATTCCATTCAAATAAATTCCATGACTTCACAGTTTTACCAATAAAAACCCGTAAGATTTAGGAACGTTCAAGCAAGGTCTGTTGAACATGTTAGTGTGCAGCCAATAACTCTACATGAGAAATACACCAACCATACGTGGTTAGCTATTCTCACCCGGTCATTTATCATTTGCTCCGAAGTTTGAGCTATTAACTGAACAAATTCGTCCTCCTAAGAAATCAGTGCGATGACATTCAATACAATGAACACTTATCGAGATTCAGACAAATTCACACCTTCCCAGCCCATGCAATCAAGTGCTGCTTTTCTTCCGTTGTTCGGCATCAGGTAAACCGAACGACGCCTCCCGTGTTCACAACACAAAACGGTTAGACGGGTTCATCATAGTAACCTGGATAAACCTTTAGAGCGAAGGTACACCTAGCTCAAGCACAGGTATGTAAAACTATGAGACTTGTCCTTCCTCAAGTTCACGTCCGCAAAATCTAAACTCGTTTGAACTTTTTTTAACCATTTGTAAGCATAGAACTAGAATTCCTACCGAGCTGTCTTGTGTCAGAGAACACGAAAAGTAATAAGTAAAGGAATAACTCGGTTGTGACTAAAACCAAATGCATTGCTATGCTGAGAAAATTCACCATCGTTTGCACTGTCGAAGGTGCTAATATCAACGGGAGGCGCAGCTGAATTGTTTCGTGTAATTATTCCCAACAGTCGTCCAACTTCCTGTACACTGGTCGTGTTAATAACGATCTGCAGGAGTGGTGACAAATCCTAAACCAAACCCGTAGAAAGACGGCAAAAGACTGGAATTCGCCTAAAACTAAAATTACCCACAAAAGCGAGATATTTGGCTGAATTGGGTTGAGTCTTCTGTCAAAACCGAATTCGTAAGAAAATGAGAATATTTGTCGCGCCTGGATTCTAGTAATGCATATTTTCACGATATAATAATCACTCAGGATATAGTGTCAGCCTGGTTAAACGGAAAGTTTGGGATACCCAAACATACTACTCGTATTCATGCAGCCACTTGTTGTGGCCAGGTCGCTGCGTTTTTTAATTTGGACATATCAATCTCGTGATAACATAATGAGGGCCAAGAAGAAAGGCCCGATTTTCAAAAACGCTTTCCTCAGGCTATGGGCAAGCCTGTTGAAGCCGTGCAGTTTCTGCCAGTTCGGCTATTCGCTGTTTGGTTAAAGACCTGGTGCCAACATTCAGAAACAAGGCAACACATCTGCATCATTTAAATTCCACCACGTACGGCATTTTGTCACTATTCGAATTAAGTTCCAACACTTTAGTGTTGGTTGCACTTAGCGGGTACACAATGAGTTTGATTTGGATACAGTAGAATAGGCAGCAGCATGGACGCTGAAGCGAAACGGTAGGCACATGTTGCGACAGTCTGAACTGCAATCTCATTGGAAGTTACTGATTGGTATTTATGTGCTCCAACTGTTCCTCACCACCAACAGGGACTTGTAAATAGTATGAAAAAACGGTATTTCCCCAGCTTAGTTCTTGATCTGAACCTCCCAAACTAGCGTTCCCGTCAAAAAAAACCACCACAGATGCACAACAAATATTAACGCTTAAAACCAGGTCAAGAACACTTGTACGGCACGTCATATATAAAGTGTGTGCCGCGACAACATCCTGGAATTTCCGACGCCCAAGTGGCAACCGGCATTTGGCGAATACTGGTTCATGATTGGCTGTTGGGTCAAGGATATCGACCAATAAAAACCCGCCTTGATGCCGGACCGACAAGCGACCCGAACTTCTTACCGATCTTGTGCGGGATATACTTCTCGGCCGCAGCAGCGTCTAACTGCGAGCGGTAAACCGGTATCTGTGTGGGATTCCGCCTAACACCGTCGCTAACAACAGGCAGGATACTTTGAACGCTGTCAAGTCAGAAAAATCCGCTTCCAATGTAGAATCCAATATTCTAACTCCGCGGGAGAAAGACTGGCTCAGATGGTTCAGAGATCGTGTATCCACAACCAAGAGACGACTTTATAGTAAGCGTTTTCTAATTTCGTCGACGAAAGCAAGGCTAGGAAAAAAGAATTACATCAATAGTTTCCGTACTAACCGCAAGTGATACTCGACGATAACTCATTGTTCCTGACAATTAGAAGACCGAGATGGCTGGAAATTTCAAAGACACTTCACTATGAGATTGCATTTTCCGTGAGCTGAACAGTAGAGACCTTCCACTCGGGCCAACATTTCGTTCAAACACTCGGGGCTTTCGGCTCATGGGGACGAAATATCCTCGAAAGAATTATAATGAGCATTTGAAAGGTGATTTAATCACCATACAGCATCACCATCGGCATCGGTTTTCAACACTACTGCTTCCCCACCGTACACCCATGATTTATTTGAAAGCCTTATTGTGAAGTAAAGAAGTGGACTGGGAAGGCACTTAGTGCCAGCTTACTACAGCCATTCCGAGGCACTAACACCTCCAGACGCTCGTTCACGCATTCTGGATGGGAACCGACAATAAGAACGCCATTGACATCGATTAGCAGCCAAATCTTTCAACGTCTCCAACCGGGCGGAGTGGACACGTGGGCATCACGTAGCACTGACAGCGCCCAAACGTTCCGCAGCCACTTTCATTACCCTCTACCTGGTCAGGGGTTGGCCACATCTCTGCAACAACGCTGAATTGCGCATAGAAAACAGTACTCTCTTTTGCAAACGATCGTTCGGGATACGCAATACATAGTCTAACCAACACAACTTCCGGTGCTATACACATTCTTCAATGGGAATTCTCGTTGCGGATTCGCCGACACCAACGCACACGAGTTATGGTTCTGAGACAACGGTTGTCGAACACCTAAGACGTCTCAGTTCCGCTGCCCGAACAATCCGAGTCTCACAGCCATACAATAAAACAGCTCGCACTGTAGCATGATACACACGACCACTGAGATTCGACGCCATAGGTGTCTCGAATTAGCAACAACGATCCGAGCCTTGCAGAATCATGCATTAACCTCATCTGACACAATACAATTAGAACTAATACAACTTCCAAGCTATGTAAAACGCTCCACAACTTCCAGTGCTCTCCCTGAATTGTAAGTGGCGTGTTCGGTGACCGCATGTCCAGGAGCATGACCTTGCCCTTTGTGGGTGCAAAGTGCATGACAAAGGATGGGATGACTTTGGTCAGTCCATCCGAAATCACCTGTGCCTTCTCCTCCTCTTCGAAGACCAGAACGATGCCGTTTGTGTACTCCAGAGCGACAAGGTTTTCATCACAGGCTGGTTGAACACCGGAGTTTTGGAGACCTCCCAGCGTTCGTGTCATGATTTAATCGATCACGAAGTTAAAAAGGAATGGAGAGATTCCTTCCTGACGGACACCTCTTCGTGTACGGAAGCTTTTGGTGAGCTCGCCGTATACTCTCACATGTCCGCAAGTCTGGAAACTCAAAAAAACTTATTATATTCACGAACTTCTGGGAAATTCCTTAGTGAGTAAGCGTGTCAAGAACAGACCAACCAACCGAGTCGAATGCGTCTTGGAAATCCAGGAATACTAAAATTGTGCGTCATTTGCATGCATGACATTGTGAAAATGTGGCGAACGCAGCGCCAACCAGACCGGAATCCTGCTAGCTTCTTTCGAGTCAGTGTTTCATGAGCCACCATAAGGCAACGAAGCGCAAGGGTCCTTAACAGTCTCCTTACGACCGGGGTCAAGTTGAATCCCCTGGGATTTCCACAATCTCTACGAGGCCCTTTTTTTAAAACGGGCACTATCACCGACTCTCCTCAGTTGTCTGGGAATCTCAATTTTTCAAATGCAAGCAAACCGATGAAACAAGCGCTGACTGAGGACTTCACCTTCATTTTTGAACCATGTGGGTGGGAGGTCATCTGGCACTTGAGAGAACATATGCAGTCCCTCCGAAGTCGTGAGTGATACCACGTTCATCGTACAGGGTTCTGAGTCAGTTGTAGGCTCCAGATGTATGGCAGCTGGCCCCGATAATTGTCGCTCGAAGTATTCGGCCCACCGAACGAAACGTTCTTTTTTATTCCAAAAGGTCACTACACTCTGATTCTCGGTGGTTTAGCTCACAAGTGGCTTCCTGGGTCCCGTTTCGGATCGAGTGAAATAGTCTTCGGACGTTCCCGGCTTTCTGGGTCTCTTTCGTTTCCGAGTCCATTTAACTTCACGGTCCACGCGCACGCTCACTATCACTTGGTTCGTCAAGTCCTGTTCGGGACCGGTTGGGATATTTCTGCGAGATATTAGCAGTGCCACTGCTCGGTCTGATATACAGTGTTTGAGTGGGCACGGTGGCGACGCACTACAGGAAAAACTCCCAGCACTGTAGAAACAGGCGGCGTTCTCATTCCAGCATCAATTCACATCTGATGGTGGAGGAGTTAGAAGGGTTCAAGATAGATTCTCGTAGATTGGCCAAACATCTTGATCTGTCAGACTCTCAGTCGCTAGGTAACTTGTCTGCACCTTTACCGGCCCTCGAAATAAAGAAGCGACTCCGGACGAGTGCGTGTCCGCAAACTACAAATTAGCTCCAAAGCGAGCGCCTGTCAGTTATTCATCCACAACATTAGTAGCCGATGGCAACGTGATCATTTGGGTTGCCCTGTTTGGTTCAGAGTGCTGACAATGACGATAACCAAGCAGACTGAGCATCGACGCTTGAAGATTGACTTTCAGATGCCTAAGGATGTCAGTGCAGAATTAAGCGCAAATGTTGCTTACAAAACCGATGCGAGATGAACGGATTCATCAATCCTAACAGACTGGCCGACAAGGAGAGAGTTATTATTGGGATAAGAGAGGGGAAAGAAAAAGCATGTGAAAGAGAAGGGAAGGTGTCAGTAATAGCCCGGTTTCGCTTACTTGCCCTGGAGTATGCAGCAAGTAAAGCGACCCGGCACCACGCGATGGCCGATGCGGCATGAGTTTAGTTCTCTGTGTTTAATTCATGGCTGTGCGTGGGCTGGAATATTGCCAGGGCGCCCACAACTAGACAAGAGGACGATTAGGGTCCTCAACCAAAGCCTTTGGCTTAAAAGCATGACAGTAAAGCAGCGGTGTTTGGCGGGACATACAAGTGCATTTCAATTTTCACAGAACGAGTCGCCCCACATGTTCCCGCCTGCAAGGGGCCAGGAGACTATGTTGGTCAGACCTCTATTTACCAACCAAAGCATGTGAAAGAGAAGGGAAGGTGTCAGTAATAGCCCGGTTTCGCTTACTTGCCCTGGAGTATGCAGCAAGTAAAGCGACCCGGCACCACGCGATGGCCGATGCGGCATGAGTTTAGTTCTCTGTGTTTAATTCATGGCTGTGCGTGGGCTGGAATATTGCCAGGGCGCCCACAACTAGACAAGAGGACGATTAGGGTCCTCAACCAAAGCCTTTGGCTTAAAAGCATGACAGTAAAGCAGCGGTGTTTGGCGGGACATACAAGTGCATTTCAATTTTCACAGAACGAGTCGCCCCACATGTTCCCGCCTGCAAGGGGCCAGGAGACTATGTTGGTCAGACCTCTAACTATTTACCAACCTGGTGTGAAAGACTGCGAGCGTCTCACAGACACTCTCAGTATAGATCAATGGGGCCCTAGATACACAAACCGTCACACTACGGCAAGATCCAGTCTTTTCTTGTGTGAATGGGTCTCATTGAAGTGGTATTTCGTGCCATATCCGACAATTACTCAGGGCAAAACATTTAGCTTACCACGCATTAATAAGAAGGATCTTCTAAGTCTTCGTGATTGCAAACGGATTCTACAAATCGATGTTTTGGAAATGAGTTACAGGCCAGCAGGGCCACGGTCCACCAAATATCATTACCCGAAATAGTCTTTCGCCTCAACCGACCTCACCTACATCATGAACTTTGAACGATTTTATTACCCAGAAAATAGCTACCCTTCAATGGAACGTCACACATTGATACAATTGGCAGACAATCATAACACATAAAGGATAAGTAATTCCATTTTCAGCCAAACGCGATACTATACCTTTAAACTTCCACTTTTGACGGAGCAACTCCGTAAGAAGCCAATGGTTGATACAGTCCGGAGTTCCGTTGATTCCCGAATATGCGCACATGACGCTTACTGCTCCTGCCTCGAGACAAGCGCGAAATGCTGGTAAATATGTCTGCCACAGATCCACGCCCGTCACATTGGCTTCAAACGATAGCCGTGAAACAGGGAAATCTTCTGGCCCCGTGTGGACCGCAAAGTGTTTGCAATTTGCCCCAACCAAAAGAACGTCAGGCTGTGATGATAGATTTTGTTCATCTGATGACTTCAGAGACAAGGGAGGAGAATATATACTCTTTGTAGGGATTCCTAACAGTGATGAAACCAGGTTAAACATTTAAAAAACATTTTAAACATTTTAAAACATTTCAAAGTTATCATTTTTTTCGATTTTCGACCGACACTGATGATTCCGCAGAATGTTCTAGGCTGCAGCCTGGAAAGTTGGGAACCGAAAATAAATCTCGTCACCTTCACTTTGGTAACCAAGCGGAATTGGGAAACAGTTTCAAGCAACCACAGATCAGGATCAAACAACTAACTTGCCACTTCCAAACGGATTATTACAGACAGCCCAGGGATATTATTTAATAGACAAATAATCGCGCGACAAATCACGACAATCCAGCAATCCTGTAACGAAGTGAGACACTTGTTTTAGGCAGTATAATGCTAGTCTATTCCAGGAGCTGAACCACAACAAATCAACGAGTACGCATATGTTTGAGGAAAGCCGGTAGCGCTACTATCTGGCATCCAATTCACTGTTCCGCGCTTCTTCTTGGACAGACGGTCACTGTAAAGTTCAGCTGTACCATTCCTCTTGTTTCAGACCGCAGTTTTTACCTGACTGCTTCTAAAGTTTTTAGCGTTTCTAGAGTTTGCTATTCGACCAAACAATGTAACAGCGGAAAAAGAATAAATGTGTTAGTCGTCTGTCTTTACAACACCCCGTTAGCCTCGTACACGAAAAACTGAGCGCACCAACTATAAACACTCTAATCGGGGAAAACTCCGACTGCTGGTGATGGTGGTCATTTGCATTGTACTGACCTGATATGTGACACGTGAACAGAGGGTCTGACCGTACTGGCACGCAATGTGCTGATGTGTAATGAGTAAGGAACTCTGCACCACTTAAAGTTGGGTGACGCGGAAGCACACAAAATACTCAGATCTTGGTATAATAGTGGGGAACAAATATGGTACCACTGTAATGTTCAAGTGATGAAGTGCAATAGAGGACTCGAGGTATTCCCGAGAGATCTTCCGATATCCTCGACGGACGCAAGTTGAAAAGGTGAACCGAAATCTATGGAAGCTGACCCATCGGAAACGATCCGCCGTGCGCACTCTGTCGTAATAGGCATGTGGTGCACTACAACACTGTGCACTTTATATATAGGATTCCTTGGATCCAAAACCCTCGATCGGTTGTGATGATTCAGTTAGGAAGGCCGTCGGGCTGAATTCCGTGGCCCAATCCTAAACGAGGGCATATGAGTGAAGGCCTAAGCGTCTGTGATCAACATAAACCTAAATTGAGAAATATCGGCTAATAATCCTGACACGAAAGAGAAAGACTTCGTGGTCCGCACGGGATGAAGGACACTTCGGAAGCAGAACGGACGTAACACTTGAGACACCGATATCTATGGTAGAAAACACTTGTTGCATCATATTGTGAGAAGCAGGAGGCAAGATAAAATCACGGTGATGTCAAATGAGTTATAGGAGTCGAGGTAATATGCTACTGAATTCAAGTGTTCGAGTGTGTGCCGAAATCATCCATGGTTATGCACTGTTGACTGCAGCACCAGGTAAACACGATTTGATTCGCATGAAGTTTGAATTCGGGGTGGACTTTGGTCCGAATAAACATACTGATGAAAAACTAGATGCCTTTGTTTGGTTTTCATCTGTCCCAACTGGTGAAACAATTTTGACGGATATTTGGATTAAACATGTGAGACAAGCTACACAAGGCAGCTCACCTGAGCCTGTGATTGAGAGTCAGTTATTTGTCCTGATGAGTCCCAATAGGAACGGAAGGTCTCGTGTGATTGAGCTTCCAGCTTTCAAGCAGCCATCAATCAACAAGTCCAATCGACAAGTGGTAGGTCGGTAAACTGGCTATAAAGGCCCTAAGCTTCATAAACAAAAGCCAGATGATAAGTTTTCCTTTATCGAGATGGCCAGCCTGAGACTTAAGCACTGTGTGATACCGTACGGTAAAAAAAGTGTTCTTAAAACGACGCGGACGCGGTTGAACTCTCAAAGCGAGCAGAATAAAAGATCACATTGACATTGCTGTAAAGGAACATCGATTTTGTGAGGATCCTCGTGGATGACCCACACTGAAAGATTCTCCGTCAAGACCAAATCACTCGTAACCTAGAAAACAGAGCTGGAACTACTGCAGGAGTCGTCCTCACCGAGATAACGAGTGTAAAGGATACTACTAACAGCTCATGATCGATTCCACCTTACTAAGGGACTGCACCTATCTGATGAGCCCCTAGATTAGCTATACCGGTCGTGGGCTATCGAATTTTCCAGCAACATTGTGAGTAGTTCCCATCATGAAAGCATACCACGATATCCCGAATATCGTACCAAATGAAACACGAGTCGGCCTTTGTGCAGCAAATTCAGTTGGGGAATACCGTGAACGGGAGATTTACCTGGGTTTGAGGGGACTCTCCCATGAAAATCCAATTGGTATGCACATGATTTTGTGTCCAGTGAAGTGGATTTTGTCAGGACGCGTCCAGACAGGAAAAAAGCACGTTCAGAGAGTGACATATCCCTAAGGTTACCATCGGTACTACACGTCCGGAAAGCAGGTGAGTTGGCAGCTCTCACCAAACACGGCTTAGCAACATACGACCAGCGTAGTGGGCCTGAAAATGTTCACGACCGGAACACCGCCATTGGCTGTACAGAACGAACAAGTGAACGACCATATTTGGCCATTTAGTCATCCTATATATTTACACAGACGCTCTGTATGTTTCGTCCTGACAATACAGCCGTGTTCCGAGTTCTCTGTCTTCTCCCTATCGCGTAGTCTGGCAGGCCCAGTGCAGGCGTAACCCATAGACGGTCACCCACGATACAACAGGTGTTTTTGGTTTTTCTAGAAGGATACACACGATTTGAGCTACACGTAGTAGAAGGTTTTATTCAGGAATAGGTCCGTGAAAAGGAAGCGAATTCAACCATTGTAGGCAATAGCCGCTGGTTAAAAAGGACACGATCTTAACAATGAAAAAATGGACGGTGGAAACAATGAAATGTTATGGACCCACACTACTTCGCCGACAGTAAAATAAAGTTTAGTTAGTTGCGTAACAAATGGCCCACCTGTGGTTCAGCGTTCTTCCATCCACCTAGTCCTCGAACAAAGGCTCGAGCAAGCTTCCCAACCATAAACGGATCTTCTCCGAATGTTTCTTGATTCCTTCCCCATAATGGATGCCTCAGTAGATTGACAACAGGAGCAAACAAATGGATGCCAGTACCATCCTGGGTGAAAAGAAAACACACGGTTATTGAAACCAATAGATCGTGCATGCCTCAAAGAGTCACTTAGTGAAACATGGACAGCAGACTCGTGTTTCTCAAATTACGGCCCACACCCAATTCGCCCATCACCTTAAGTGCCCAACTATCGCAATTCAAGTGCTTATTGAGTGCAGAAACCACTGATCTAAAATTCGGCTTCCATCCATAGCACATCCGAAACATAGTGAACAGAACTGAATGGCAGTGAAAAAAATTATCGGGCATTTTATATCTGGCTTGGTAACTAAGATTGTGGCACCTAAAGATTGGTTATAACGGAGAGCATCATATGGTAGAAATGTCAAAATGCTATCTGAGACTTGATGAATTTTTGGCAAACATATTACCTTATCGTCTCTGCTAATCCCAGCTAGGAAAAAGAGAGAACAAGATCACATGAATAAACTTTCTATGGTTTACTCAAAGTACATGTACCCAGTGCAAGGCGGCCCACACTATAATGGAAAATGAGGATCCTACCAGCTGAAAGTATACTGCAAACGAAAAAGCGATACTACCCTCCCCCGAGAAAGGATGGGTTATACATAGTCAACTCAAAAACGGCTCACCCTTATCGCCGAAAGGTTGACCATGACCTCCGGCACATTATTCAATACGGTCGAAATATTTTAAAAAACCAAAAAGTCTAATGCTGCTCAGAAAAAATCTGCTGTGCGCAGCCGCATGAGGAGCGAGACAGTAATGTCCTAATCCCTGCGTCCTCGCATCAGACCAGCCCTCTGCATATAGGTGCGTCAGATTATTAAGTGAGTTACCCCGAGCGGGGTCCTTCAAGAAAACCCTAACAATCGCTGTCTCGCGGTCCACACTTCTGAGGAGGAGGTTAAGTCCCACTGCATTGAGTGTCAGATTTTTGAGACAATGAAGGTACCTCAACCAAACCCCGTTCTTTTGCTTGCACAACCGGGAAGTACTATCCACCACTGCAGCTCTTCGCTCGCCGGCCACCCCTTAAACTCTCCTCTCCCTCCCCCCTCCCAGTGCGATCAACCAACCTGTGATTCGTCCAGGCATTAAATTGTGTTTCAACCATCGTCCAGAAAAATAAAACAAAATAATCACTTTCTAACCTCAATGGATGCGATCCACGTTGCAGCCTTCAATGTCCACACTCTATGCCACCTTGGGCAAAAGCTATTCTTTACTGAGATCTTGCTTCATCTCTCTGTCCATTTGTGTTGAGTCTCCGAAACACGCATACAAGACCCCAATTCGGTCGTGCGCCCCAAGCTTCTTAGGACGAGCTCAGATGTTCCGCACTTAACTATTCGGGTACCTGGTAATCCTGAAGCAATGGTTCGCGGTATCTACGGTGCGGGAGTTGCACTCAACCCAAAACCCGAAAGCGCTTTACTCGACTGGGTCCCAGTAAACAGCCATCATCATGCAGTGTGATTGTCTGCCTCAATTTAGATCAAAACAAGTCGATGCGGTAATTGATGTTTATCAGTCGTATCAGCATATGCTCTGATAGACTGTAGTTCTGAGGTTGAGAAGGAGGGGTTTTATCGATGTCTGTCGTGATTGCTCCGGTCAGCAAAACGGACAGATATGGAAACTTTGACGGGTGATATGAAAGCTCAGGTTGGACGACGGAAGAAGCACAGCTGAGTGGTAGATTTGGGGTCGACGCTCCAAATACGGATAATGGACAGCGACTGGCAGTACAAACATCCAGCACAAACGCTCAAATCCAATTACTTGGAGGCTACCAACCGAAAGACAGTCATGAACTCCACTGGATCATGCATCTATCGGTTACCTATGGAGAGCCTCAATTAAAGATTGTCGTTCCCTCTGGGGTACGCAACTCGACTCTAATCATGCCACTGTAAGGGTCCGGTTTGTTCAAGCCATCCGATTGACTAAATGAACACTGAATATCATCGAGATCACCAGGTTTTATTGCTACCAGAAAGGCCAAACCACTAACTAGCGACTATGATGACGAACGCAGATCCCTCGGACACCAGATAATCAGAACCTTGAAGAACAACAGAGAACTCTAGTACATGGCGAAAGATTTCGCAGCGGGCAACAGTCGATCAACCGGCCACAAGAAAACAAGTGACAGCGGAACGATATGCAAGGAACCCGGAACGGCAATTCACTCACAAAATCGTTGTCTTGATCGATGGGCTGAACACTCTAAAGAACGGTTCAGTTGGTCTCCTTCCACACAACTGATGGAAGAACCCAGTGGGCCTGAATGGAACATCGACACCAGCCCGTTTCACTCTGGCAGAGGATGAATAGATCATATATTTACCTTGAGACGAGTTGTTGAACAGTGCCACTTCTTCAAACGTCCTACGTTAGTCTCTTTTCCTGATGTGAAAGCTGTTTAGGTCTCGATCGACTGTCTGGTACTTCGGCGGTGTCTGGCGATCAAGAGTGCTCCTCACAAATTTATGTCCTCCATGGGGACATTGTGTGCGAACTCCTGTAGTGAGAACGAGTACACGCCTGAGTTCACCACGTCCAATGGTGTAATATAAGATTGTCCTATCTTACCTGTCCTCTTCAACTTTATTGATGTGCTACTTGGAATTTCTCCGCTTGCCTTTGGAACCACGGGATTCAGAATTCTCCTGCGGCCTAACCTGAATAGTTCTGCCGCACGGTTTGGTATTCGCTTCACGCGTGCGTTGTAAAGTGCTGTCGTAAAACTGGATGAGATCAAACCCAAGATTTTGTGTTTACAGACGAGACACGGAACGTTTCGCCAAGGTCCGACACCTATGGTGCCAACATGGAGTCATTTTGTCTGTCAAGGGCAGAGTCTACACTGCGGCAGTGCAATCCATACTGCTTTATGGATCAGAGACGGGCAGAGGACATACGAATGCTGTCAGTGTTTGGCCATCGGTCGGGTCTGGTGGGAACATCGAATTAGTAATGCCGAGGTAAGCCAGATGGCTTTAGGCAGAAAACTTGCCCGATAGATGAATTACTCACGCTTCATAGATTACGCTGGTTGGGACATGTACGCCGCATGCCAGAAGACCGTTTGCCTCTCAGAGCGACCAAGAGCTGCAGTGTATGACGCGGCCATGACTTATGAAAACCAGTTAACAGAGTCGGTTCCAAAGCTACCGCCTCCTTAGACGGGGAGTTCTGGATTCTACTCACCCATCATTAATGACACTGGCAGAAATGGTCCAATCGCCCAGTCAGTGGCGCTGATGCATCAAAGCTGTAGCCTTCAATGCGTAACTATCAGGTTCCCAAAATAGCTCAACATGCCATCATCTCCAATAGGTAGCTATATGTCCCATACTCCCCCGATTTCCGATGATCGAAACTGCAGCAGCTGTAACGGACACACCCTTTGTACATGGTTTATAGCTGGTAAATTGAATTGCTTGAAACTATCAATAACATCGCCGTATTGCTCTACGGAAAAATGGCCGGACGAAGTCGGCTATATCGGAACAGAAGTTTCAGGGCGTTGCTAAACTTATCACTGATGTTGTCAGAGCTGAAGTCGTTTGGGACGTAAGCGGAGACGACAAACAGATAGCGGTCAACTTTCCGCTTCTGAAACTTCCACAGACGTCGCCAGACGAACCACACAGAAAACGGGTATACAGTCTTACAAGGACCCTTCTGTTCGGTCACTTAGGGCGATAACAACCCGTATGCATCCTGCCACAGGGGCCTCTCGATCGTCAGGATAGCGCACCCGGAAACGAGCGGATATTGATGTGGCAATCAGTTCAAACACTGTGCTTGAATCTTGAATTCTTGTTTCTGAGACACAGCACACATCAATGCCTAACGAGTCGATTGTGAGCGCAAGAGCAGCTTGTGGACTAGGATGTTGCCAGGGCTCCCAGACCTAGACAGGAGAGTGATTAGGGTCCTCAAGCATAGCATCTGGATCAAAAGCCCGACCGCCAGGGGGCGGTGTTTGGCGGAAATGAAAGTGCTGCACATCTGACAAATAACTATTGTTCGGTCCCAAACACTAAACATTTTATTCGGGACGGAATTACTGAAGCTGTTTGTTGGCTTTTCGCTACTGACCTTAACAGGCCAGATCAATGACAATCATCTCGTAGGCATGCGCCTGCAACCAACGTGTCAACGGTATTAAGTTTACATGATAGTACTTACAGCCTCACTTGGAATGCACGACTAGACCTCTTAAACCCGCCAATTGTCAGACAAACCCATTGCAACTTAATTGAAATTGAGATCTGATGATTACACTGACTCAACTCCACCTTTGGTGTGACCACCGAAAATTTCGAAATTCGGTTGACGTGTGAATGCAATTTTTGACTCGGTCTTAGGTAATTCCAGACAACTGATGGCCATGAAGCATTTTTTTATTGAACGGCCTTTGGTGCACATAATATATGGCACGACGTGCCCGGTATATTACTGCGATAACGAAAACCCTGTGGACCACACATCACTTACAAATAAGACGCGTTCAACTACCGAAGAACATGTAAACGGACTTAAAATTTGAGACGACATTCAGACTAGACGTTGGAAAGGTCGCGAATTCCCGAGTCAACAGAGCTGTTAGTTTACGGGTGCGGCCGAAGGTCCTATAGGTACAACTGGTCGATCGAGTACTGAAAAGCAAGACCTAGTATGTGTTGCGTATTCGTTGTGGTTGAGGTGAGCATCGAATATCGACACTTCACAAAAAGGGCAACACCAAAAGCCATTGAAATTATGTACCGATTTGTGGGGATCTACGGTCTCAACTTCCAACAGGTTCCAACTACCGTTATATTGACATCCCAAAAGAGGACACTGCAAAAAAGCGATCCCGCAGGGCTGGCATCTCTAGGGAATCGTACACTAGGTTGTGACTGACCTGAAAAGATCATGAGGGCTTTCTGAAGAAATGTTTTTCATCGGAGGGTGCTCTTTGTTTATTACTATAAATAGGATAGGAACCGGAAGTCAAGTGAGAGAAACGGATGTCACGTGCTGATGGTTCAAACACCTGGCTTACTGGCCCCGAAATCAGTACACAGGAATAACGTACGCGATACTTGTTTTTCGACTTAGCTTGATTCCAGCGGGCTCGCATTTCCAGACCAGTCGCTCTGGCAACCCGGTACAGAGTGTGAACGTCAAACGTAGCTCCCAAATTCACAGGTTGTGGGAAGGGCGTTATTCTTCCGTCTGCAGGATTGGTCCGCCACTGGTACGCACTGATATTTAATCGAGGAATACTCGGAGCTGGACCATGCTGCAGACCAGCTCCACCATTGGAAACTTGTTGTATGAGTTCCTCATTTGTAAGGCGGGTCAGTAAGTCGTCCACTCTGAACTTTGCTGGCAGTGAAGGATTCCTAAACGGGTACTCCCCTTGAACGCTGAATGAAATAAATTAGATAGCGTTGAACCGAGTGCATTTATACCGGAGGTGGGAAAGCTCAGATGAAAAAAATTGGTTTGTTGTGGTCTGTCAACAGTGCTAGTTATGCAGTGACTATATTCTACAAACAACAGGAGCTCAAATCGGACTAGGTGTGGGAATTTAGTATTTGAATCTATGGCGTGCTTTTGGAACAGCATCTGGGAGAAAACTCATTTTGTTCTGGCGAGCTTCCCCGGCCTCTGGAACCTATGTATGTCTGAACCCAATGTCCAAACAATCAGTCATCTTTAAATTTTGGTCATAAACGAAGATATGCAGGTGGGGTAAGGTAATTCTCACATGGGTTAAGTGAAATCCACCTCCTCTTAGCGCATGAATAATTCTAAGATGCTTTCTTGCGCGAAGGTCTGTCTATTTGAATAGAGTGGCCATAGTTGGTTGATTAATTCGCATTCCATACTAAGCTCTAATTTATCTGAATGGACATCATTGGTTATAATTCCTATAGTGAAGACACTAACACCCTGCGGCGCTGTAACCCCGACTGCTAAGTTCTTTGACCTTCAGGGTACTGTTGAACTACACCTCACTCACTTTGTAGTTATCCCTATCCTCTTCGAATATTCTTTAATCACAGCTAACTTCCAAATAGTCCATCTTACCGACCTGCTCCTTATGAAAGGTTTAAAGGTCACAAGTTGGGACCAACTGGTAATGATTTATCCTAACGTGATATGATTCTCTAACACGGCAATGCATTTCGGTATGAAAACGAGATCTATGAAGACTGACCCGAAAAAGCCAATTTTTACCAATCTTTTGCGCATTCAGCTCACGAACATTACCCCGTAACCAGCCTCTTAGTCGGTTTCACAGCAAGTGCTGAAAATCGCTGCTACTCAACTCAATAATTTCACATAAACTATGTGAAAAACGCTCGACCAGGTTTTGCTGAGCTGAGGCTGATAGATCAGGGACGCTGTCAGGTGGACTGCTTAATTTCAAGAGCTAATCGCTGAAACAACCACCCAGCTGTCCATAGCCCCTCTACCAGACAGATGCTGCTGATGAAGGCCTACGGTTCAACCAGCTAAATATAAAGGATACTCTTATTTCTTCTAATTCGACTTGTGCGCTTCAGTGACAAAATTTTCAAGCATTCAAACTGGAACGAAAACTCAGTTCATCTTAGCAGTCTCAGAGTGATATCAGATAGCAGTAGCTTGGCTGGGCTATTCGTACATTTGACCTCGCTGTATAGCTCGGTCTCTATAAGAAACTTCAAGGAGCCTAAATAATCGTCTATTAACCCCCAGTCGACACAGTCATACGACCATGTAGTACTCTGACGTCTCAGGTTAACGCGTCTGCTCAATAAACTGGACTTCAGCACGGGAAGGTTTCTAGGTATGTTGTTCTGCTTCCATCATTAGTTTCCAGAAAGCCACTATATTTCGATGTCAATCACTGCGAACACAATATTATAAGAACCACTACCAGCCGAAAAATCCGTAGTTCTGGATTTATTGCCTTACGTGGTCTCCGTATGTCTAATGGTATCTTGCTTGGAGAGCCTTCTTGGGCTTCCAGTTACAGGCTTCCGTAGCCGCACATGACCAACTGAGATATCCAACGCTTAACCTGGCGTGTAGATGTGTAAGTCCAGAATCGTTAAAGCTTCATAAAACGCTACATAAAATACGCTTTTTCATACTGCTTCGAACCTTAAAGAGGATCCATGGTGTGCGAAGGTGGCTGTTTTTCCATGTTTTTACCTTTCTGCTAAAGTGGTATAGAATCTCAGGCTACCGATGCAATGAACGAATTCTCATATAGCTTAAGTTGCTCAAAAGAATGGTGCCAAAATGACTCACCTGAGAAGCACAAAGGCCAAAATTAGACAGGCCTCCACTCTCGCACAGTTCACCGATTTGTACATCTGGAATGAACATGCCAAAAGATAACGCTTTGGAAAAACTATCCATCTAAAGGATACAAAACTGAGCTGCTCCTAGTGCTTGATCTACACGCTCGAATGGCAGCTTACGAATAATGGTCACGTTCCCAAACCGAAGTGTTATGTATCTGCTGAATACACAGACATAGTGGGGGCATTGTAGACAAGCTAGCTGAACAAATAGGCGACGCGAACCGCCAATGTCTGAAACAACCTAAAACGTAAACAAAAGCGTCCTCCTGCGACATTGATCTGGATTGAGGCGATATGGTGTCTAGCAATCCCCAGCAGTCTGCGGTGACTGGTTTCGATTGGCATTGTATCCATGACAAAACATGGACATGCCATACCAGATAAGGTACGATCTGGTTATTTGACAAAAAAAACAAAGCATATTGGGCACGGGTACGCAGTACGTTTGGACTCTCCCCACTAAGATGGATGTTACTAGTACGAGCTGTATGAATTGCGAATCCACACTACTTGATCCAACTAAGCAACCGTACGTTTAGGGGATCACAAACAAAAATGTAACAGAGCAACAGAGATGATCAATTCGACAAATCTGGGAAGTCGAGCAACCGATAAACAAGACTATCCATACCAATGAGCAGTCATAATCGAGGGTCAAATCCTTTCAGATTTAATTATTTAACTCAACCACATGACTACCCAACACAAGCGTGCAAAACACAGAGCAACGCAGCGCTCCTCTGTACCACACAATGTCTGAACAGTGATGTCGACCGATTGGTAATAAAACTTGTGTAGCTAAAATTGTTAAGCTTCGCGAACAACTCTATCAACAGCCGAAGAGTCAAGGTCGCCAGCATTCTAACCCGCACCATATGCACAGTACTTTCTGTCGATTAGACGGTCTAACTGACTATACTCTGTTTCCCCTACCGCCGTAATATAACACGAGGGCTCTGGCGAGCATCAGAAAACCATATGTAAACATCCGTAGACGAGTGTAAGCAACAAAGAACACTGGTATCCTTAGGGATGAGGAACTATATGGATGATGATTCCAGTCTCAGTTTAAACCGCCTACTCTGAAAGGCTCAAAATAACTAGTGAACCCTATGGACCAAGGACCGTGGGATGGAGCTATAAAGAGATATTGGAAACCTTTACGTAAGTAAAAAAAACGTCATTTGTGAATGAACTTTTATCGTCATCAGGCCATTATTTGTTCAGATAACTTGAAATGGACAAAAGACTGATCTGAGGACCAAAGCGTTGAATACTACCACGACCTTCTGGCTCCTAGGTAATTGGACATATACAAGGCAGTCTCCGGCTGGAATCACCAAACACCAGAATGCCACACTTCCAGTGAATGATAAAACAGTGGTATCAAAATGATTCGGCAGTCGTTCCACTTCGAAAAATGATGAATTCTGCCAGTCTACTTTTCTACGAAAGTATAAATCATGAAGGGGAAGACTATGAGGAGCAGTCTGATGCCCAACGATACCAAACTTACACCGCTTTTTTACTTGCTGGAAAGTTACTTCAAAGAAACACGATGCATACAGAGCGTTTCCTTATCCCAGCCATCCGGAACTGAAGTAAAAGAATTCCCCACTAGAAATCTCTCTAGCGCAATAAACTTCGATATCCTGGCCATGAATCCCTAGTTTGCATGTGTTCTAGTTAAGTGTAGCATCGCCAGCTTTGCGATAATGCCAAACTACCCGATAATAAGTTCCCATTGAATGATTGATAGTTGATCCACCTCCTTTAACTTGCACTGCTGAGCTTGGATATTGACCGCCTACATTTTTTCTTGCACGTACATGATTTCCTTCAACTTCCAGAATTCTACGTTAATTGTAACCGGCTTTGTGACAACCATATTATTTTATCGTGACTGAATGATGAAATAAGGAACCTCTGCCCATATGATGCACTCGGAGGCACAAAACTAAACAAACTGCTGCGTCAGAGAACAGATGCGGTTGACGGACAAGGTATGATCCGGCTATGAATATCCAAGACGGATGAGCCGCAATTGCGAGTAATGCAGAAACGTGATGCCTTGAACAGTGCAAAACAGTATATTTAAGGCCGAACACCGGTTTTTCATCAACGTATATGTATCTAACATATCGCTATGTATTCCACTTGGTTCTTACACTACGTTGTAATTGTAAACCAGACATCAATTGGCCCGGATTAGAACACGGATGTCATTCCATCTCCAGCATATAACTGGGTAAACTCTGACAGTGACCAATGCAAACATCATACTGTTGTTTGGAATACTGACCGAACAGTTTATTCATCAAAAGGAAATTATGGCATTCTAGTACATTTATTGCTTCGACTATGGTGTTCTTCGGATTCGCGGATGTCATGCAAACGACGGTGGAAATGAAACCAGCTTGCGAAAACCCGAAGAAGAGCAGTGTATCGAAAAAGTACCGAAAAAAAACATAGCAGAGACGACAACAGCGTTAGCGTAGAATGGCTGCCACGTTGGATTCATTTACTGACCTCTGAACTCATGACGTCACGCGATGTTACAGCATTCTTGAAAAGCGATATTTCATGTGATAACCCACCGGTGGGAGTGCCGAATAGGTGATCCTAGCAAAAGAAAAGCTGTTCACATCAACCAGTGAAGTGAATACAGTCAGGTGTAACTACCCATATTCTGCACAATCATCGGTTAGGCATCACGTCTGTCTGAGACAAACCCTATCATGGGACAAAGTCCTACTGCCTGATACACTATGGAGGTCCAAAGAACCACCCGGACCTCTACGGGGTCATGTCCACGCTGCCCTCATACCAAGGAACCTCGTCTCGTCGACAACTGCGCTGGCCCAATTCTAAGCACCTCGGTGGATCTAACCGTTATTGCTGTATACACAGCTCTTCAGCGGACTACAGCGTTAAAGAAAAGCTTTTACGTTGAGCTGTAAAGCATAATTGACGAAATATTCAGGCGCGATATGCTATAAGTAGCAGGCCACTGGACTTCTCAAGCTGATCAACCAAACAATCTCACCCGCAATATCATGGGCAACTTCGACCTAGAACAACGTGAAAACGATCAAACTTTGTCACCCGCACCAGGTCAATCCACCTAGTCATCACCACCATACTCATCCAGCAACCAAAATGGTACTTACTAACGTAGTATCCGGATGGTGGCTATGTGCTTCTTTAATTTGGTATTACACGCACACTACAAAAATGCTCTTGACTTGCGCAGACCCCGACTTGAAGCTACCATAACCTCTAACAAAACCCGTACCTCATGCTGATTAAACGCAGCTGCAGCTATGGAGAAAGCACCCAATGTTGGTGACTTTGCTGAGCTTTTCTGTCTATCTTGTATTGCCCCTGGTAAAAGTCATCCCATACAACATCTGTGCACAACAAAATTGGAGAATTGATAGTAGAACACGAGAAGAAACGGTGGGTGGAATACTTCAGTCACTTGCCAAACCAGCCATCTTCAGACGAGAAATTTACGAACTTCAAAACCTTGCATTACCTGCAGAAATGCCCAAAGAGAGGAAGGAAATCCCTTATAGGTGTATATGCAGTCTTCCCGTAATCTCTTCACCTATACAACAGTGTCCTGTCCCTTTTTCAAATAGGTCAGTACACACTGGCGAGAGCACTTCGCCTTTGCTTACAATACCCAAGGTGGTGAAACAGTATGCAAACAAACATCTGCGGATGAGTCGCAGACTGTCGCTAAACCATTTGCTTCTATACTCCTCGAAAGATTTTCGAAAGAACGAGATGCTCAAACAATAGGAAACCAAGGTGTCCCAAAGAAGCTGACCAGGTATTCACTATACACCGACTTCTGGAATATCAAAGAGCGCGTTACCTACTTGATAGACTTCTGAGCTGTATGCAACTCTATCCACCATGAGGCGATATGGACTATACTCGCTGTTGGTGATGTAACAGATGGACTCATACAATAGACAACTGAGTCTGACCACTTTGGTTGCAAGGTATGACATCAGAAGCCAGAGATCCGTGAATTCAGAGGGGTAATCCACCCAGTCGTTACGACTGTGAATCCGGCTGCTTCACACGCAAGACGTCTGCGAATTCCGATTTTTTTAAACATTCATATCTAAGGGGTAATCTGGAGAATCGGCGGCTTCACAACACATCCAACTTGATGATGAGAGAACGCTGCCCCATCAACTTTTGCAGCACTGACTACTTCAATGGTTCGGCCACGTTGCCGGAAAACAGGAAGGCGAGTTTTGTAAACTTCGTCATAAACCGGAGGGCGCTGCAATCCTGGAAGGCATACTAGAACATGGATCGGCACCGCCAAGTCAGATGTGAAGGGGTTTGGTATGCTTTGCTGAAACCTGAATTAAATTTCAATTTGTGTGGAACTCGCCTGTGACCACCGTTCGCGGATAACAACAATACAGAACATTGGTGAAGCCGACTAGTACTGTCCAGAAAGTGGCACCGTGAAGTAAAGTAAGTTGTAAACTCGACATCACTACCAAAGTTTTTCAGTACAAGCAAAACCAAAGGCGAAGAAATCATCAAGGTGTCGTCCCTCAAACTCTTGAGATCCGAAATTTCTTTAACTGGAAGAATGACGTCAAGCATAGAGCCGATGAAATGCGATGAGCTTTATCCAGTTAAACAGTGAAGGCACTCAGAAGTCAATTCCACTCAGAAGTTTCGTACAAACAACGTAGCCATCAAGCCATCAAATGTATATGTGAAATCTGGTCCCCATCTATTTGACTGCTGGATTACTGGCATCTTAATAACACTAAAAGCTCAATCACCGTTAGCGTATACAACAACGATGTCACATTCCATCTTTCGAAACATGTCAAATGGAACCTTCTCCAAACCTGTTCAATGTCCAAGATTCCTTGCGGTACATGGCTGACACCTGAATATCCATTGCTAGTTGTTTCACCGTGCACAATATGGCACTGCCAGGGGGGACGACAGGCGAAAAAACTAGA